AATTATTATTTTTTATTTTTATTATTTCTGTTGAGGGTTGCCTTTTTTTATTAAATTTATTGTTAATAAATTATTTTAAAAAGTTTTATACATGTCATCTCTTAAGTTCAATTACTTCTTTTCAAATCCTTTTGTGCTGAATTAATTAGTAATTTTGGGTGTTAATTTATACTATATTTATATTTTCTCACTTACCATATTAGTTAATTTTAAAAATATTGAAATTACTATAATGTCTGATCTTATTCAAGTTTTATAATATTACCCTTCTAAATTTTTTTATTATTATTATTTTCTTTCCTACATAATGTCTTAGATGAAGCATAAGCCTTTTTATATTTCCTTTTTTATATACTTAAGAAGGAGTTATGAGAGTTTATAAAATATTATTCATAAAACTATATAAAAAAAAGTAGCAGTGTTAAAGCAATTATTTGTAATGCACTTTAAAATCTGATAGTTATATAAGAATATATATCTACCAATTAGAAAAATTGGGGTAATTTAATATTACATATTAAAATATTTATCAAGTTAGAGATGCACATAACTATAAACTTGTAATATGATGATGAATTTTTATGAGGGCAAAAAAATTAAAATGACATCCCCTTAGATGGGACCGAAAGCTTGAGACAGCCCCCGCCTGACGTTTATGTTACGGATTTATATATTGAATGATCGTAACAACTGTCGATTGACTCTAGGAGAGTAGTAGAGTTAAGTTCGCCTGAGGATTATCTTCCTCCCAACCTGTAAATCTCTTATGATTAGGTATGGGGTTTCGAATCTTCTTTGGCGAGTCCCAGGCTGTCGCATCGCCTCTTCTGTCAGCCATATGATCTCTTTAAAGTTCATATTAACATATTTTTTATGTACAATGTTTTAGATTATATGAATACACAATAATAAGAATGTATTTATATAAATATTCTTTTTATCCTCATTACTTAATAGCGCATCCAAAAATTACAATTAACACCAACCAAACAACTAACCAACAAACAAATAAACAAACAGAAGAGCCATTTTATTGATTAACGCATTGAGATTTTTAGTAATTAACACAAGTCATTAACAACTTATTCCACCAATTCTCACCGCCATAAAAGTAATTAACAAACTCATTAATTACTTAATCAAATCACTCCCAAATCCCCACTTCCATAAACCCATCCTCAGTAGCACATCCCCTAAACATTCCATTAGAATTAAAGCCGTAACCCACCTCCCCATCTTTACCCACAGCTATAATCCCAGCTTTACCCCCATCTAATCTCTCCTTAATCACGTAATCAATCGCCGCCTGCAAACCCAAGCCTTTATATTCCATAACCGCCGCCACC